CTACCTTACTAGTACATTAATCATAGCAACGAAAAAAAGTTGTTCTGACAGATTCAGCACCTTGCCTGTCAATCCGAGTAATGTCATGTCGTTAAACTGCGGACCAGGTTAATAGTTAGGAAACCAATCGAATACTATATCGAAGTTAATTCCTCTACTTATTATCATAGCAATGTCCCGAAAGTTTTTTTACAGTCTGTACACGCGGTTGTGGTGGGTTTTAATCTAAAATCAAGTATCTTTACAGTATAAGTAACTATTCCATCACCAATGAAGTACAACACTTTTGTCAATATCATGTCAATTTAGATGTCATATGTGTGTCCAAAGGCATTCAAGTTTACATTGTCGAAGAAGATGTTGTATCAGAAGGATTATCTAAGGTTACGTACATCCCCGCCCTACATTAACGAAACGAAAAATCCGGTATTGTAACATCATAATATGGAATGACGTCGAGAAAGTCATTTCCAACTAATGATTTAAAAGGGAAAAGAGCTTATAATAATTGACTGTATGTTAGTGGTGGCGAATGAACGGCTGTGAAAACCACGGGTCAGAACGCAATATTTTGATGTATATTGAATCTGTCATGTCGATTGTCGTTTCCTGTCATACAGTCTAGCCGGCTGTGATGAGATGGTGATAGGAGTAAATACATAGACCACTGACCTATTACAAAAAGACGAGTAATTACGATGATTGTACTAAAGACATATTGCAGACATTGCAATGTACCATGAAAGGCAAGTGTTTAGGTGTAATATTTAAAATTCAATCAATGGCACACTGTAGTTTGTACTATTTTTCACATTTGAGATGCTGTACTTTTAATCAACATTTACAATAAAATGTTATCTGATTTTGGAAATTGTACTTGGTCGCATCCTCTTTTTGTATTAAATGAATTTGATTAACATCCTTGTTTTGAAAGCGAAGGGGCTCCAATGATACGGTCGAGCACGTAGTTGTGAACCATCTTCGGATCTTTTCTTTCATTTCGAAAAGAAAATAACGTTTTCTCGCTTATTTCTCTCTTGATAGTTGTGAATTTTCCATTTCTGGATAGCAGCATACCTGCATCGCCAACATATGGCGTTTACGTGTCGCAGTTGATTCGATATTCACGAGCCTGTTCTCATTATCACGATTTTTTTCTTTTTGCCATATGAAGCTGGAAGTATTTGCTGTTCGTTAGTGTGCCAATGTTTCCGTTGTCATATATTTTCCTCTCATTTGAGAACATGACATTACTTACTAGGATTGAACAGAATTTACATAGCAGGTGTCTCCGATGAAGCAGAAGACGTCTAGTCTTGTAATTATATTGACATGTTCGTATTTTCTGGTTATTTTTTAAGACAGCTTCAATCCTGGTCCTTATGCTGAATGTCTGCTGAAATGATAAAGACTACGGCTTCCATGCACTAATCGTATGGACTCGCCTCGCGCACTTGAGTAGGATATTCTGAAATGACTGTTGACATAACGATAATAAAACTAATTTTGTCTCTAGGTCTAGAGATGCCAAAATCATCAACATAGTACTTAAATAAGTACTTCGGGTTCCCTACAAAATGCACAGCATTGAATGCAATGCTCAAGAATTGATCTTTGACTACGTGAACCAGTAGAAATGTCACGCCATCATGTCCAGTCTGATATAACAGTGTGATTGTTCTATAATAGAGTCCATCAGTAGAGCCCATTATCCGATAACAACGTCTTCATATTATCACGTTTATATGTTTTGTCGTGTTAAGAATTTTTTTGTCATAATGTTTTTCCCATTTCATTATCTTATCAGTATTTGTATAGCATGAGGTGATTTTCAGTGTTCAAGCTGTAACCTGAATTTATTCTATTCGTCAGCAATACGCATTGTTTAACAGACACATCTACGTTATTGTGTTTAGAGCATCACGTTTACGTCTCATAATTATTTGGTATGCCGATAAGTATCAATGATTTCCGCACAAAAACGTTGAACGAAAATTCCCATCTCTTTACTGCCTCCCAGAGCCACTCATGACCTACGGGCTTTGGTTTGGGAAATTTCATTTTGCTACTGTCAGACCAATCAGACGTTTCCGTTGGAGGTATGGAGTTAATTAGGACAGAATTTACTAACGACAATTTCAGTCTATAATGTCTAAACAGTCAGCAATACTTCATTTTTATTTCTTTATTTCCAGATAGCAACATCCCAGCTTCCCTACACATGTTGTTAACATGTTGCAAAAGGTTCGAGTAAAAAATAAAATTTCCAGGGCAAGATATAGACAACTGAAATATAATGATATAGCATAGGGTTCCGACAGATACATTTTTATTATATCATATGAAAGAAACCCATTATAAAGATATCATAGAAAAAAGTTTTTTGAATGATATGGAGTTGAAAAATGTTTAACACTCGTTAAAATGCATAGTGGGTTTGTCTTTGCTAACCTTTGCCTCACATGGAAGCGTAACATTAATTGGAAGAGAGAAGATTTAAGTGGTGGGTGTCACTTATAAAACATAAGACCCTCATCCTTTCGGAACACTTTGTCGTATCTTCCTTGTACTTATTTTCTAGAGATGTGTAAGTAATTCTTTTATCCCAGTTTCATCAAGTCTCCAGTTTCAATTAAGATTCTGTGGACATTCTCATTATTGTTTGAGCATAATTCCTGTCTGGATTTTAATACTCGTGGTATAGTTCAACGTGTTATTTTGACACATTTTAGAAACTTCCTCAATATTTACAACACACATACAATATACAATGTGCATAGTGCCACAGCATTACATGATGCCATAACTTTTATTGAGAATTTGTTTGTTATATGTGGGTGGAGTGGTGATTATGGAGTCCAAGCATTTTGTTGAGAGAGAAAAACGGCAACTTTCATATCCATCCTTTCTTCATCCAGACAACACGATTTTGAGATACATGCATCATACCATCTAAATAGTCAAACATGCTATATTGTGCGTTATGTTCATGCTAAGTTTTGCATCTCCGCATTATGTGTCTAGGTTGTTCATTTAATTATGAATATCGGTTAATAACCTTTGTTATGTTCTTGTGCCGCTGGTGTAACTGCGTGCAATAAAACGTATTAAATCTCTTTTTCTTAATGAAAAATACATATTATCTGCCGTTACCATTATATACCTATATACAATCGTCGGTCGTGGAAATATGATTACGTTGTATGAGTACCGCTATAACTCTGTGATTCATTACAAATTGGGCTCGCCCTTATGATAACTGATATAAAATCAAAGAAACGACTGCCTGATAATTATCATGGTACCATGCGACGATACATCAATCTCTTTAATCCGTCTTCCATAGACCCAACCTCTAAAAAGATTTGTTTTCAACCTACACATATGGTAATAGATACCTAGATGATATGTGACTTCTGTAAGTCTCAGGACAATCCCCACATAAAGTACAACTGTATTTACCCTCACGGCGACACTGTGACGCCTGCTGTAAGAAGCTCGCTACTAAGCCCTAGCCCAGAGGATTCCTGGTCCCAAGGCAATCTGTGCTGGCGAGCTTGACTGTTTATCACCTTCACTAGTGTAAATGAATCTATTTTATTTCTAGTCCCAAGCTGAAATAATTGATGCTAGATCAGCTTTGTATACCTACACTAGAATTCCTGGTAGTCCAATGTGTTTTCCTATCGGAAACTTAGTTATATCTGTCGTTTCATGTTTTAAGGGATGTACGGGTGACACGGTGCAAAGTCAGTTCTGTCAAGGTACAGTGTTCTGAAAGCAAAAAGAATGGATGACAAACATGATTTTTATTGCATTGTAAATTAACACTAAAAAGTAATTTGAAGTCAGGCATGATAAAAGAATGAAACACATTTGTCTAACAATCCGAGCAAGTACTCTGATGTTTAGATTTTCTACTGGTGTGTTGATACAGCGAATTTGCTTTCGTTTATTGAGATAATTTAATGGATTACGTTTAACTGTTTAAATATGCATCTTCATCCTTCCGCCTTAACTTTGTCTTTTAAATTGAGCAGTAACAACTACTAACTACATAATGCTATCAGTGTTCAGGTTGTGACACGTGGGTGTGTTGGCATCATAAATATGACCGTTTCTGGTCCTACCTTCCGTTAAACACTGTATTTATATTCATTTAACTATTAAGGGACGTATGACCCCTTCTAACTACAATGTAATTGAGGCATCTTCATCGAAAGGCTATTAATCTACGTTTCTTTTTCTACAATAATGTTCGGCAACACAGCTGACCCTAGTTGTTTAGTCAATTCTATAGTAAAATTGCGGCAACTCCTTGCTGTTTCATGCTAATGGTTAGAGAGACACCAACAATGCATGTTATTCGATAGTTCCATAACTAAGAGAACACGTCGTAATAGGAGAGACCATTTGACGGCATGATGTCTTTTGTAACCTAGTATTCCAACATGTCACATGGACATTTGAAGGCATGATGTCTTTTGTAACCTAGTATTCCAACATGTCACATGGACATTTGACGGCATGATGTCTTTTGTAACCTAGTATTCCCAATTGTCACAGGTAATGCAATTTAAAATTTGACGAACATATATGTCTTCTAGATTTCTGAGGCTTAGACACAATAGAACTGATATCGATACTATAAGAGTTACAATCACGTTCGCTCTCTGTACACCTGGAACATATCATGGCAAAATTGAAGATTCCATGTGCGTTACCTTGTGGACAAGATGAAAAGGATAGTTTGATCCTTTGATGTACATCAAACGAATTTCGAGGTCATATACGGTATGTTGTAATGGCTTTGAAGTTGGGTGTCGCTCCTTTGTAAACTTCAAAAAGAGGCATGTAAATTACTTCGCCTGTGTCTTCTGTTTTGCCACGACATGTTCCAGGGGTGCATGGAGCGGAAGTGATCGTACCCCTAGTAGTATCCAAGATGTCGTTTTACAAATATAGCACTATCCATACAGTCTACGATTTTTATTACAGATATGATGCGATTCATAGCACTGTTGACTCTACTCGTGGAGACTTGCCTGGCTTTCCCGCCATTCAGCCGCGGATCATACACACTCAAAGTGAGCGGTGAACGCAATGGATATGACGCAGACGCAACGCCAAGTACGGATCACACAAATTCTCTTAGTCTCGGTGACGTTATGATGCAGACCCTTGCCAACCAAGGGACAAATGTTGTGGTAAGTGACAGGTACGAGTATACTACAAACCCTTCCGAGGGTGACTGGGACGTGTTCCGGGCTGGGCTGGTCTCCCCACCCTCGGGCCTCCTACAACAGTGTTTGTCTCTTTCATCAACAGGCATGCAACAGCTGTTATACTGCATCAAACTATTATCGAATAAAGATCAACTTCATCAGTCAAATGTTCAATCAAAAAGAGGCCCGCTTAAGCTTAACCCAACAGGATGGAAGAGAAAAAAGAGGAGTACAAACGATGACATGCAGAGAGAATTAGAAAATATAAGGATTCAGTCCATGTTGAATCAGTTACTTGAAAAACGCCAAAATGCCAATCCTCGATTTAACCCGACAGGCTGGTAATCACTCCAGGCGCCTAGATGGTGGTAAAACGAACATTTGTCGTGTGAAGTAGTCTCTCTCTCTTTTCTTATTTCATATGTTCCTATTAAATGAATTTATGAATGCAGAATTTGCGTTTTTGTGTTGGGTGACTGAAGACAAGAGAAGGTGGTTTGGTAGATAAGATAAAATAACACCAATATAGAACCGATATGTCAACAGACCGGTAGTTCAAGCTCTGAACAAAGAAACACATAAAGGACATCAGCACGTAAGTGAAGAATAAGACCGGCTTCATGAACGGTGTCGTAAGACAAACAAATAAGGAATCGTAGAAAATATGCCGTTTCCTTAACAACTATATTTTTTTCGTCAGGCATTTACTATTGCGTTAGGAAAAGTAAGTAAATGTGAACACTATAAAATGTTTTTATTCGAAAATGGTAGCACATGTAACTGCCTTCATAATAATAGAGTCATACACGGGCACGTCACGTTTTTTTTAATCATCTCATATTGAAAATTAAGACAATGAGAGATTACTATACCTTCCCATCTTAATATCTGATACATTTCGATTTTCATTAGATATCTCTTCGGTTACAAACTTATAGGTCGTAACATCACATATCAGTCCTTATTAGGACCAAATTGCGATTTTACTGTCGAGCCATATTGTTTAGGTCATTATATTGCAGTGTGACAACGCTACACAATCGTCTTTTTATGATCTTTGTTGTGGAGCCAAATATAATTTAGCGTCCTTGTAATTCTACGTCGTCACAACAATTGAGTTATTCATGATTTCTTCTAAAACGAGGTCGATCAACATTGCTGATTTTACCAACATCTCTTTTACACTTTTCAGTAATGTTCCATTCAGCAATAGCCTACCACAATTTAGTTATCGAATTCAACAAGCGGTCGTCAGCCTGATACGCGTGCGATATTTTTATTATGGAAATAACCCACTAGACTGGTCAGATCCCATCTCTCATAACTCAGTTTAATAAATATATATAGTAATGTACTTTACAATGCGAGGCGTAGATCATTTCTAATTTTAAAATTGGACCTGAACTGACGACTTTTGTACCATTTTGATTTCCCTCTACGGTGTTAGCAAATTATTAAATCTCCGTCTAAATAACTCACATTACGCAAGGCGTTTTTGTTTATAAGCCGTTCAGTGCAAGATATATGATATAACTTTCAAGGGACCTCTGATGTTCATCTGATTTGACATTCAGTTACACAATATATATGAGACGTGTTGACATGTCTGAAACGCTGCACTGAAGTATATAGTACACGAGATGGTAGATTCTCGAACACTGTATTCGTCGATTTTCAAATAGGACTGGATCTAGTATAGCACATCACCAGATATCAAAAAAAGAGTAATCAAAGTGTTTGAAAAGAATGTCATGGTCTATGACGCCGAATACAGCAGACAATTCAAGTATGACACGCACGGCTCTGCACTTGTTATCCAAGGCGGCAGGGATGGCAATGAGGACATAAAAAACAGCCTTCTCAGTAGACCGAGCTGTGTGATATACCAAGTGTAGATGTTCTAGTGAGTATTTGCATGGAGATTAGCCTCTAGATGTTGAGACACAATTCTCTACAATATCTTAGGAAGGATATGTTTGAAATCAGGTGAAAGCTCTTCAACTCTTCCTTGTCCATTCTATAGCTTTTCAATTCTTCCTTGTTCATTCCAGATTGTAACAATGGTCTAACGTAGGCCTTGGACTTGATTTCATTGAACACTTGTTAGTGATTAAGAGCGTCAAGACGTTGCTTCACCACAAATACTGGAAGAGGATTCAGAGGACTTTGATTACAAGCTCGCGATTATCTTTGCTGATGTGAGCTGCGTCCGTGCTTTGTCATCGTATTTGATGTCAGCAGTCATGGTAGAGATACATCAACACAATTCACAAAAGCAATCTTCTGTCTGAATATGTTGATTTTATTCTGCAAGTAATCGCTGCACTTGGTTAACAAACCTTTCTTTCACTGTATATGAAAAGCTTAGTAAAGGGAATTCACATCTCTACCGGCACTTATCAACCGACGTTACTCTCCGGACAACTTCTGGTGGTTGGTCGGTTTAGTTTTACAGCAGTGTCGCTCCGATTTTCTCCACTTCTGTACTTCTTGGGGGAGGGGTCCATTAATCTAATTAGCGTTTAGATTTACAATAATCACCTTTGTCTACAGAGTTACATGTTTTTCGATCAAACCTAAAATTCTAGAATTATAAGCTCCAACAGTTCCACCTTCTGCCATTTAAAGGAATAAATAAGTCAGCAGTGATAATATACTTAAATGGTACTACAACGTCTTGATCCAGATATGAAGACAAATAATCAAGATTGCGATTCGGAAACTGTTCCGTTTTAACGGAGTTGGCCAGTACGTGTCACGTGATTATATCACAGTGGTTGGGAATTAGATGTCGCTCATTTATGTCTTTCTCAAAGAGGACGGCCAGCCGCCACTACGTCTACCATTTCTAGCATCGTACAACATATGATAGCACCTGTTGGTATGAGTTCGACTGGTATTAGATCGCAGTTATCGCTTTAAAATCAATGTCTAGAGATGTTAAAGGTATGTGAGTTGTCATATGACAACCTGGCGCAAACGATCAGGTGATGGTGTATGCTAGGCATCACTCACAAAACTGCGGTTGTCGGTTTTGTCAGAGATATTTGCGAAACCGACAGCATGTGGTATCCCTGTCTGTCCATATCATGCGTCTTTCGTTAACGTAAATTGTCAAGGCATTCCGATTGAAATAGCTCGATTCGTTGTGTTGCTTTCTTAAGATGATTTTACAGAGATGTTTTAAGCGATTATTGAAGGGAATGTGTTTCATGATCAATAATTTTGTCAGAACAGACATGTTTCACCTTCACAAAATGAGGTGGCGCTCAAAATTATTAGCTAACCTAGTTAACTTTCGTTCTTTCGTTTTATGTAAGTCATTCGTAATTGATACGTATTTCTTGTTCAAAGACTTAAATGCGCATTACTACTGTAGAACAATATTAAAAACATAAAAGGGGTAATTTTCTGTCACACAAAAACAGATATTTCAAATATAATCGACCTATATAGCTATATAATTGATCTTGATATTTCGCTGTTTATTCCTCGTTGACAGCTGTCTAAAAATGGAAACCGTTCTAGCACCTTACGTCAGAAAAAGTAAGAAAAAAATTATCCACTGAAATGGATTCAACTCTACTCCATTGATATTGTCTTGTCGTTAGGCCCTCCTGGTACTTTCAGTATTTTAGATATATTAAAGCATTCAATTCAAAACTAGATCCATCTTATAAATGTTTTGAAATCCATTCTGACACGATTCCTGACGGGAAATGTCATTTCCGACTGTGATGCCCCCTAGGGCTAAGTGACATCAGTTCCTTGTCAGTCTCATCAAACACTCTCTATGACAACATGATACCGCCGTAATGATGACTGAAAATCAAAATTAATCATGTCATATTGGGCTTAAACGTGAACATCTCATCAATGAATATTTGAAAGAAGGAGTAGCCGCATTAGAGGATACCGTAGTTGGCCAGTGACGGCTTAAACATGTGAAAACCACAAAATCTTAACACGAGAATGAAAGTCATGATATAATTACTACATTTCATGCTGTTATAAGTAATAAAAAAAAACTTTTTGCTAAATTCATTTGTTATATGGTATGTAGGTGTGAAGATGTCGCTCTTACATCACTTGGTCCTCAGGATAACACTTGAAGGTACATCAACGACGTTTCAATTGTAACTTTAGGTATAAATTCCTGTTATACAATCAATTTTGCTAAAAGCCATTATCAATTCTAAACGTCGTAACTAAAATTGCTGCAATATAAAAAAAGTAACTTTTCAACCGACTAAAACTAATAGGACAGAAATAAATCTTATCATTCTGCATCTTTCGGAATCTTGTGTTGCGAGTTTATCAGCTGCCGACACGAATATCATAATAATTGGAACCAATCTTAACATATCAACATCATAAGCTTCGGAAGAATGAATATACTATCTAGAAATGGAAAATTAACAATAGAGAAATAGAAGTTATCACGTTTATCATACAGCTTATTGGAAGACATTAATTTCAATTTCGCTGTATGAAAAAAATCGAAATAAGCAGCTGATATAAAAGATTCTCAATTTCAAGTTCTGATAGGTGAATTATACATATATAGACATATAGACATGGTTAATATATTCCTGTTGAAAGTAATGTATCAATGTGTTTTGGAGATCAATGTGTGTATCATTATCGACACTCACATTTTGTTTATATCGCTTCAAGCTACATCAGTGTGACAACATTACCGTCGATAAACTCTTGATCCCGTATGAAACAATTTATACGGTAAATAAACATTGTACATTAACGAAAAGAGAAAAAAGACGAAGAAAAAAATGTGAAAACCAACGAAGTTAGACAGTAATATGCGAAAGAAGAAATATTTTAACAGCCGTAAACACGCCTATATTATTTCTCATTTTTCCACAGAAATTGTAATGAATTAAAATGATGCTTGTATGCAATATATTTTCGACAATGATCGAGAGACCCAAGATCGTTGGACGCGCGAAGGGAGATAACTCTGACCAAACGACTATTCCAGTTGTAGCAATATACTCCACAGATCAGTTGTTCGTTTTAACAATAGGCAATAGATATAGCATTTCATATGATATCTGACCACGTTTTTAATGTACATATCACTAACGGGATAGTGGGTTTTTGACAATATTTTACAAACATTGGTGGTTTTCTTCAATGCTTTCTTTAAGGGAGATACAGAAATCTAAAAAAATTGGTTATTAGTCGCTATTTCTAAATTTAGATTTCGTCTTTTATTTCCTGGACATCTTTTAATGGGAGATACAAAAATAAAAAATCTTCGTTGTTAGACGCTTTTCCTAAGTCTACATTTCGTCCCTTGTTTCCTAACGTTTTTCAACATTTGTGGCTATTCGTAAGTTGAAATTTCCGAACTTTTGCGCGCAGAACTTTGTTGTCTGGACGTCTCGCTTCGTTTAACTTTGTACCCCCACCCGCTCTGAACCACGTGATTTGCTGGAAGATTGCCCTTCTTCCGGACGTCGTATTCTTTTGTAGATGTATGTTTCTGGAACCAATTTTCTGTTGTAAATTTTGTCATTTTTGTTTGGTTGTCATGTTCGGTTGTGAGATTTTTTCTGTATGCGCTACAATGTAATTTGTTGTTTGTCGATTTTCAATGGGTTTGCCTTTTCCTCTGGATGCCGTGTTTTGTTGTATGTTTTTTCGTTTCTCTCGACACCATGTTGTGTATTACATGTTATTGATTTGATTTTCTGCGTACATTCTCTTCTTAAGATATTTCATTAACTGGTATTCATCTCTGCATTTTACCTGTAATCTTATTTTGCACGTGTATATTCACGCCTTTCTCTGATGTTCACCAGTACTCTTATCTCACATGTATATATATATACTGGGCTTACTTTTTTCCGCTGTTAACCTGTTACTAGATCAAGAGGATTAAGAGATTAACGAATTCTACTGAGCATGGCAATGTTAACATCGGTTATAGCAATCACACTTCTGTCTGGTAAAATACTTGACTAGACGCCGAAGGTCGTTCTGAGGAAACCCCTTAAGATAGGCCGATCTGTCAATGGATAAGCATTGAATTATGAATGCAGTGTTTTAAACCCTACAACTGTTAACGTGAGATGTTTATTGTAGATCCACTCCAATCCAATAATCACTCGATATAAAGTATTGACATAACCATTGTCGCAGTCATCGTAGACGGTATTTAACACTTTTCAAACATTATTCCGTTATCCAAACACAAAGGAAATCCGCTCTACTTTAAAACTGCAGTTCTATTCTTTGTCAGAACCTATGTAGGGATATTTGGTCTCGCCTACCTTATCATACATGTACCATGTCTCCATTTTCCTCTACCAGTAATACTTTACGTGTTTCCATGCCGATCAGGACTGTTTCATCAAAGTTCCAAGTTCACATAAGAATTCACAACTGTTGTAAAGAAAATGAAGTATGCAATGATTCGGTTTAAAGTATCAAACATTCAAGCTTTAACTACATGGTACAAGACTGTTTCGACACTGACGACATTTGAGTGACTTGTCGAGTAGGACATATCTCTAAACCACAGCCTGGCTCTGTTAGCGGCTATAACGAGTAACTACAAACAGGTAATTTCGTGAAAAGCACTTTATTCTTGTAACACTAAATTTATTACACTACAGAAAACAAAACATTAAACAGAACAGATATAAATAAACATACACACATAGAGACGAGAACATATCAATGCTAATGTACTTAATAAACACACGTTTTCCCGCGGTTATCACACAGTTGATGTATTTTCACAAGCACAGCCTGTTCCTTCCTCAATTGGAATCATGACGTCATTTGAACCTTTATCAGAATCATTGTTTCGCGGTACGATCACGTATCCTGGGGTGAATGATTTTCTATTCCGTGGAGCACATTCTGCTCTACAATCGGCGGGGCATCGCTCCCAACCGCGACGTATTTTCTTTACGTAACAACTTATGCACGGAAGGCTAAGCACAAGTTTGAACAGAAGTGTCAAAAACGGTAGAACAGAACTCAAAAACGTGATTGATCGAACCATTGCAACGGGTCCTTTTGACCAACCAGGAGCTCCCATTATTACCACGTGACCAAGTGACAGTATCAAGGTGAGATGTCCGAGTTTTGATTGGACGAATCTCCACTCCCGCCAGTTGAGTGTGTCAGTCACGGATGGTATGGTGGAGATGGCAATTAAACACATTGAGATAAATGCGAGAATTCCTGTGAGACATGCTGCCTCCCCTTTCCACACCATCCACGTCTTGATAGGCACTTGAATGTCGTGGGTAAGATTGCCCGGAATTGTCAGGGACGTTGATTGATACCATGAACTCAAGTATGTCGGACTCATGATAAGGACGGACATGATCACGTGCACTACCACCAAAGTAAAGGCCACTAGCCCGAGCTGCTTACGTGTTTTTAACCAGCGGTCGAGCCATGCCGGAAAACGAATGTGCTTAGTTCCGTAATAGATCTGAAAAAACGAAGCCACAGAGCTAGGTAAGTAGGTACAGGATATCAGAGTTATTGCAGTCATACACAGCGGTTTGTTCAGCACCTTCACAAAGATTTGATCCCAACGGTAAGCCGTCTTTTCGACAAAGTAAATAAAAATGATATACAAAAGCCAGATGTTAAAAACACCAATCGCGAACGCTATCGGCCCCCTCCATGCAGGCAAAAGCTTTAACGGAAACGCTTCGATCTTTCTCGACGACTGTAATAGACCCATGTCAACGGGTGAAAATCCCATGTCACGAGCTATCACCGATACCTTTTCCCGCGATTCATTGTTGTCGCTGGCAATGAACACCTGTCGGCTGCCACCGCTGCTGTCAATCTCCATGGCGTAGGCCGAAATGACGTTAAAACCCTTCACCACGACGGCGGCCGGGACCAGCCGGCTGAGATACTCCGCATTGCTGTCGGTTTTACTAGGATGGTCTCGGTTGGACACGTCTATTAGAATTTTGCCGTGTACGTTTTCTGTGTGGGCGGATAGACAATCTTTGTAGTTTGCGGCGTGGACTGCAACAAAGATGATGGAATTACGTTTGAGACAGTCTTCAATCGTAGTGATATTGATGTTACACATACACTCGTCGACAAATGCCAACGTCCGGTCATCAGGCTTCCGGCTACCGACGATGACGTTGTATCCAGCATAGAATAACCGATTTGCTAACGCACGTGCGAAGTTGCCAGTTCCAATGATTCCAATGTTCCGGGCGACTGCCTGCTTCGTCATAATGCTAGGCCTGGAAATATCAATCAATTAAGCTATAGTAATTAAAATGATAAGTTTCCATTTACGTAAAATCACAGGAAATAGATTTTTTAAAGGTAAACCTAATTGGTACAAAGAAGGAATTCAAGCATTCACATAAATCTGCGGAGTTTATTCCGGAAAAAGCTGTGCTATCTTTTAATGTATTATTTTTGAGAACGTAACACAGTAATAATGATGTACTATGCAAGGTTTGCCAGAATTTCATTAAACACAAGTCGAGAATGTTTGAATAAGACATGGAATATTAAAAATAACTGTTGCGCTGAGTATAATTACATGTCTATGTACACAAAGACAATATCATCCGATTATTAAATCAGCTTCATGCCAAATTTCCGGACCATATTAATGAAATACAAATCATTTCCAGGAAATGTTGTATTAATAATCTGGATAAAAAGGCGACAGTAAAAGCTGTTATCACGAAGTAATTGTGTAAGAGATATCGCCTCTCACGACAGATTGTAGGCAACTCAAAGCTACTGATTTCATTTTCAAAATTTAGATCTGTACAAAACGCACGCCGAAAAAAAATTATACATGCAATTAACATCTACAAGTATTTTGTCATATATATCTTGAATAGTATCTTGATTTCAGAACTGTAAAGTGTGGCTAAGTGCCTAATGTTTTGCGTGAAACATACATATGAATGAACAATACTTCATCGTGACGTAATATAGCCAATTGATCTGCGATCAAAAACAAGACCTTATCTGTAACGCTTTGGATTTCAGTGTTATCGGCCAAGATTGGAAAACTTATGCATGTGGTTTATCGAGACGGAAGTATGTGCACAAGATATACATAAATGATACGTGATCTCCATAATAAGTTCATATACATAATGACGTGTCTACGTCCTGCTTAAACATTGACAGAATAGCAATCATCGGCTTAACAATATATATAAAAATCTTCTTTTCTCTAGCAAATATCTTTTTTTTTTTTTTTGGTTAAAAATGCGAGTATTGAAAATCCGTGCATGGCATTAAGTATCCATATGTTGAAATGTATGAAGTATATATATGTATAAAACACAGTCCATTTTCTGCGTTAAACATTTGACATTTAAACCCACTAGTCAATACAATAACAATCGTGCACAGTATGGTTACTACATCGATATCAAAATGCCAATGCTAACGTCATGTTGTCCTGTTTAGAATAAGTAATGATTTTACTGTCAATATCCGCGCCTAATTTTACAAATTGTATAAATACAAATGGATTTCAGTATATCACTCATCTATTGATAAATTTCGTCGGTATTTTTTTTACTGGGCGGAAACCATGTTCGTGGTTAGATCAAAAGACCGAAGCAGAAAAAATGTTTTTAATCATGGAATATAAAATCGTACTTTTTGTAAAATACTATAAGAATATCAAACTGTTGAAAATCTAAACTACTATGAAAACCGATTTTCTATAATATAAAATCACAGGAGAAACACTTGTCGTAATCCTGTATATTTAAACCTGTAACACTCATTATGTAAGTTAAAGAAATAAACAAAACAGAAAAAATATAACTACTGTAGTCAGTAACATGGATCTGTTATATAACTACTGTAGTCAGTAACATGTGGCTGTTATATAACTACTGTAGTCAGTAACATGTGGCTGTTATATAACTACTGTAGTCAGTAACATGTGGCTGTTATATAACTACTGTAGTCAGTAACATGTAGCTGTTATATAACTACTGTAGTCAGTAACATGTGACTGTTATATAACTACTGTAGTCAGTAACATGTGGCTGTTATATAACTACTGTAGTCAGTAACATGTGGCTGTTATATAACTACTGTAGTCAGTAACATGTGGCTGTTATATAACTACTGTAGTCAGTAACATGTAGCTGTTATATAACTACTGTAGTCAGTAACATGTAGCTGCTATATAACTATGAAGTCAGTAACATGTAGCTGCTATGTAACTACTGTAGTCAGTAACATATAGCTGTTATATAACTATTGTAGTCAGTAACACGTAGCTAATATATATATATATACTACTGTAGTCAGTAACATGTAGCTAATATATATATACTACTGTAGTCAGTAACATAGCTGTGATATATCAACTGTTGTTTGTAACATGCAGCAGTTGTCAATGTTTTAGGTAAAAAAAAAATTCAATGCTTGTTCAGAAATTCCCGAGGCTTCGATCTCTGTCAGATATATTTACATAATTATGAGCCTGACTGTCACGATCGCGTGCATACCCCTTTCATCATTTTGTGTTATATGTGTGTCGTGTTAATGCTGTCATTTTGTGGCGCGATGGGTGTTCAGTAGGTACGTTAACATGCACCAGCAGGAACCATATTGTGTACCGATTGGCCGATAAAGTATTGTTACGGGCACAGGAAACTCATACAGACATTTGTAAGTAATATGTGTCGTTATGTTAGTTATCTGTTACATGTAATGATAATTATAAGCGTTATGCATCATTGAAATGTTGGTTTTGCATGATCTAATGCGCTGTCCTATCATGATTTGTGTTAATTTATGTTGCTTATTTCATCGTACTTCCGACAGAGGCATATATTATAAGTTATTAGTAGTTATATTTGGTGTTCGGAAGTTATTTAGATAATATCATGTATTTTAATAACCTTTGAATAATTTGAATGTTAATTCAATTTCTGAATACGGAAGCCCGTGTGTAGCGTTTCATTATCTGATTTCCAACTTCTTAGCGCTATTACGTATTCTTTTCCCAATTGCTGAGACTAACGTCGATCTCCCATGTTACAAAATTGATAGCAGCGGTGGGATTTGCATATTGTCTCTTGGGAATGGAACACCAATGGCATTAGTTAATGATGCAAGAAAAGTATTTCTTGGTTTGTTTCGGTTTTGTTAGGGGTAAATTTCGTGGGTTTATATGTACCTGTTTCTGACGCTACCTCTAATGGATCTGGGTAAGTTCTAAAACTTAAGGAGTCTGGAAAGCCAAGGCAATTACATAGGTTAGTATTGCTCCGTGGTGTCCATTTTGTAGATAACCTGCTTTTATTTCATTTTTGTGTGTACAATGACGTCAATCAATGGCTTAATACAGGTCTATTAGGACTCCGGATACGAAGGATCCGATTTGCAGAGTTTTGTTAAATCAGAACAAGCTCGCGAGAGGGAAGAATGTCAGAAGAAAGAGATACGAGGAGAGTAGAAGGAGAGTAGGAGGGGAACAGGCTATGGAGCTAATGCGCTTGAGTTGGATGAAATGGAAACGAAGCGGGAAGAACGAGAAGAAGCTCGTGTTGAGCGGGAGCATAGAGGAAAAAATGGAACTACGTCAGACAGAAACTTCTACAGAAAACAACACAGGAACTCAGTAACTACAGGAATTAAGAGGTGCTCGAGGTCCTTAACTTCCATCTGTCGAAGAAGTGACAGCATAGATGCCTTCATTGAAGTTCCGTCCGCTTGCTTAGCGTTGGCCCATGAACAGTGGTGAGCTAACCTTGGAGCAATACTTAAAAGAGCTCTGAATATTTTACAAGGTTGTCCGTGGATGATTCTTGGAATTTTGACTCTCTGAAGAAAGCCCTGTTAATACGATTTGAAAAGACAGAAGAAGGTTTTCGCAAGAGTTTTAGGTCTGAGAGACCAGATCCTGGAGGAAATTTTGGATAATTTACTATTAGGCTGGATGGCTATTTGCAGAAGTGGGTAGAGATGACGAATACAGAGCAGACTGACGACCAGCTGATGGACTTGATGGTGAGGGATCAATTTTTGCACTATTGAGAAAGAGGTCTAACACTTTTTCTTAGAGAGCGAGTTCCCAATTCCATGCAAGAGATGGCAAGATTGGTAGATCAGTTTGCTGAGGAAAAAGGCTCAAAGAAATCTGTGATGGTGATAAGTTGGAGATTAGTAGCAATACAGTTCAAGCTCATCTACGTCGAAACGTGGAGCGAAGAAAGAGAATCCGGGAAGTTGTGTAGTATGCTGTACATCTCAATGGCCTGGACACAAATTATTTGAGTGGCCAAACAAGAAGTCAGGTAACCGGGTAGCTGGAATGACAAGGACAGTAGAGAGCACTGATTCAGGGAGCCGACAGAATCAGGGACGTAAGAATTGAACAGACAAAGGAAGTCGCAAAAACCAAGAGAAGACGTCTGACGGTGGTTCGTCTAGTGTAGTAGACAAGTGATGCTGATTTATCTGTTACGACCAGCATGGCTATGTTGAGAAAATGCAGTGGGGCCCTTTGGGTGACAGTTTTGAGTGGGGGTGACTGTAGTGGAGCGGTAGTTAGCAGAAGTTTGGAGGAGCCTTCTCAAATTACATGCTGAGACTAACCTCGTTCTCCCAAGCTACACTGATCCAATGCCTAGTTCACAAGGTAAACATTATTGATCACCAGTTTATAGTATCAGTGCCACAAAGAAATCTCTGATAATAATATTTAAACATGTTCTGTCAATCTGTCTACAGATTTTTCAATCGTAACACGAAGTACAGGAAGGCTGTCTTTGAAATTCTTATCTCAGTTTTAATTGCACACGAATCTATGTTTATTTTACGAAATCGTATGTAAACATTCATAAGAAGTTTAATTACGTATGTATGTAGTAGACACTATTACTATTGTACATCCGTCGTGGGACGAGGTACAGTGTAACATGTATGAGGACCTGAGTACAGCACATCGCAAGCTTTGCTACTTCATTACCACGACATTAGAGAGGAGAAACTTAAGTCTTAATTTTGTCCCTGTAGCCAACAAATGTGATAAATTAGAGTCGAGATTTGATGAGATAAAGCAGATCGCCTGTCTTCATCAGCAACAACAGGAGACTCATGTTTGATCACTCCATTGTCTTTTAGTTTGAATAGTACTTCAAGTGACGAGGAAGATGTGCACAAAGAGCAGAACCATGTCAGGTGTATTTGTGAAAGTCAAGTGGATAGACAATAATGATGACGAAATTAGACAAAGTCTTAA